TATTTTCTGTAGTAGAAATTCAAAATATTAATAGGTATATTTTTCATCATAACAATTCGCTTTTTAAGTCCAATAAAAAATATCTTTAGAAAATAACGATCGGTTTCGATCGAGAGCTTCTTCGTCTATACTCGAGAAAATTTTCCTGTATTCGGCATACCCCGTTCAGTCCGTTCCCGCCAGTTCCCGGTATATATCGCAATAAAAGGTCTATAGTATACCGGCAAGTATTGACAAGAACAAGCCGGCGATTTGTGATTTTAGTTTTAGTTATACTTATCCTAGCCGCTAGCAAAGGTCACCTACGGTTACGTTGGCAGATAGGCAAATCGTAGGTCTGACGCCAGTTTTGCATTTTTATTGGGCACACATTGTGTTTGTTTCCAATTGATTACACAGAGAAGTTAAATAATTGGGGATTACAACATTTTGTTGAGAATTTTAAGGGTAAGTACATAACGTATAATATAAAAGTATTTTATATCTACTAATTTATCGGTTTCAAATGTATTGACCCCTCACTTTAACGTTAATTAAGGAAAAAACAGTAGATAAAGCGAAAAATCTTGCAAAGTTTTTTCATTAAGATATCAGAAATTCCTTTTTCTATTTTGATGGAACTTGGAGGCTATTTTGAGTACTGAGGGTTAAATTTATTTGTTCCAGTGACGTTAACAGATATTTCTAACAAAACACCTAATTTTTAACCAATAAAAACTACTTTTAATTAATAAAAACTATTTTTTAACCACTAAAAGCCTAATTTTTAACCAGTAAAATCTATTTTTAAGAGATAAAAATAATTCTTTAACAATTAAAACTGCCTGTTCAAGGTAACAAAATACTTTTTAACTGCAAGAAAAATATTGTTTAATCACTAAAAACCTACTTTTGAACCATAAAAAACTACTTTTTAGTGAGTAAAATTTTACTTTCTAACCACTGAAATTAATAAAAACTAAAAAGTACATGTTTAGGGACTAAAAAGTAAGTTTTTTTAATGAATTTTGACAGTTTTATAAAGGTTTCGGGAGACTGATTCATTTTTTGTTGCATTTAACAATATAACCTTAGCTTTTACAGACCCTAAAAACCTAAATTTAAACATTTCTCAAAAATACCTGACATTAATTTTTATCTAATTTCTTAACTTACTGAGCTAGGGGAGGGGGTTTCTAGGATCCACGACTGGTGCTTAAGTTTATTAAAATTCGAAATTTGCGTTTCTGAGATAGTATAAATAAAATATAATTTTTTTTTAGATATTAAGGAAGGATCGTTTGGAATGGCCCACCTGGTAGATAGAAGAATGTTATGTTTTTATGTTCCTACCTATTTTAGTTAATAATCCTAATGGAATGGATTTTCTTATTCTATTCTATATTATAATAAACAGAAAACAATATATTTAGAATAAAATTTCTTTTAGGATTTTTCACAAAGAATAAATACCGGATTAATTTAAAGCTACTAACTGTTCATTTGAAATTTCTTGATACTATATGCCTTACGTTATTATACGTCTAAAGACAAATAAGTTTAAATTATCAAATAATAATTTTATATTACATAACCTACTGAATTTTTAAAATTCAAATACATTTCTGAAATATTTATTTAACAATATAACTAATATATTTATTACAAAATAATGGTCTCTTTTATTTTTGAAACCCTTCCTTTCCTATGTTGATCTGTATTTTCACCACAGGTAAAATAAACATTTATGTAAATTATATAGGTAGGTATATATTAGGTAAATTTGCTTTAATAAGTATATATAGTTTCTAATGCACGGCTAAAAAGTTAATTTTTCTATTTTTACAGAACTGGTTTCATTATGAAGAAATATAAAGTTCAGTTATCCTCGGTAAATCTGGAAATTTGACATTTAATACATGCAAAACATTCTTGTATTTCGACTTTAACTGAACTTTATTTTTTTATAGAAAAAACGGCCTAAGTGCTGAAGAAACCAGCCCTAAATAGCAAAATTTACTTTTAACCATCAACAAATACTTTTTAAAGGTAAAAATTAACTGTATAATCATTAAAATCTACTTTTTAAAGGTAAAAGGTTAATTTTAAACCACTACACACTACTTTTTAACCACTAAAAACATTTTTTTAAAGGTAAAAATTAATTTTTTATTAATTAAAACTACCTTTTTAAGGTAAAAAAAAAAATTTTTATTGCAAAGAAAGTAATTTCTTAATCAGTACCTAATTTTTAACCATTAAAAACTACTTTTAATTAATAAAAACTATTTTTTAACCACTAAAAGCCTAATTTTTAACCAGTAAAATCTATTTTTAAGAGATAAAAATAATTCTTTAACAATTGAAACTGCCTGTTCAAGGTAACAAAATACTTTTTAACTGCAAGAAAAATACTGTTTAACCACTAAAATCCTACTTTTTAACCATAAGAAACTACTTTTTAGTGAGTAAAATTTTACTTTCTAACCACTAAAATTAATAAAAACTAAAAAGTAAGTTTTTAGGGACTAAAAAGTAATTCCAAAAAAGTGAATTTATTAACCGTAGCAAAGTACTTTGGCTGTCGCCTATTTTAATAGAGTTTTTTTTAAGGGTTAATACATTTTTTGCTACCATAGCAAAAAATTTCCCTCGGTGTAGGTTTCAAATTATTATTTATGAAATATATAAAATATTACATTTACAGGATATTTTTACATTTTAGGAACGTTTCAGAAATGTTTCGTAATATTTATATATTACAAATATTTTAGTATTACATTCTTGAAATATTTACTGTGGTTTTGTGCTGTGTGGGTTTATAGAGGGTTGGTTTTCTATTTTAAAAAATGTATCTGTAATTTACTCTTGGAAAAGAAGATTGTTCAAATAAAAGTTGCTTGTGATAGTATTCTCTAAAAATTTTATCATGTTTATCGACCGAATTTGGGAAATTTGAGGTAAAGTGCAAAATTATTTCTGGAAATATTTTAGAAATCGCCAATATTTTGAAAATGATCTTTATAATTTTTATTCTACACATGATTTCTCTAAAATAAACCGTAATGGAAAAATCTTCAATTTTTTTACATCAACTAACTTTTCAGTGCTCACTATCTGTTAAAAACAAAGCTTGGTCTGCGATGTCATTCACTTCTCTTAAATTTTCGATAATTCATTAATACTTGAATCAGACTGTAATCAGAATCAGGGTACATAAACTATGGTCAAATTTCATATCCCGTCGACGCCCGAGTTGCGAACTCACAGGTACACAATTTTGGAGGGCGCCCGAGTTGCGACGAATTCAGATAATTTTATATTACGCCCGAGTTGCTAACTCACAAGTTGAGAAAGTACCATTTAAACACTACTTTTTAATATTAAAATTCTAAATATTTTTGTCTTAAATGTGATTAATCACCTTTATGGGAATAATCGAGTTGGTCAAAGAGAGTAGGATGGGGGGGCCTATTACTCGTGGTGCCGATGGGGCACCTCTGACTGTTCTCCTTGCTTAAGACTTAGTGTAAAAGTTAGGTACAACAAATGAAGAACAATTGATTATATGTATATTACATATATATTATATATGTCGGTTTCGTGTTTTAGGATGAAAGTTACAGTTAAATACATGTAAATTGCAGATTAAATTATTTATGGACTACAAGTAGCTAAGTCTATGTGTTAGGTGTAGTGTGTTACAATTCTTTTAATATCTATAGTTAGTTAGCTGTACCGTGTACCATATAGATGTTAGTCCTAAAGTACACTTGTTGGGTTGTGACGCCATTCATTTTTATGAGGTATATTTAACTATAGTTTTCATTTAATGCTAGTTACAGTTATTTACATAGGTATGTAGATTTCAGTTATTGCCCAGTGTTACTTTTTACACTTACCTAGTTAACTGTAGATTTTCCTCTCAGAGTTGTCAGCAGGTTATTATAAATGTTTTTTAAAGTTTGCATTAATTTTATGCCTCGATATTATTATAACTTACCCTGTATAATAATTTATCAAATCATTTGTTTAGTTAAATAAAAATAAGTCTTATTGAAACTAGTAAGACGATAAAACAATAATCAATATATCTACATATTCGCGTCACCATAGCAACTAAGTCAATAAGTCGCCATTTTTATTCTAAGTCACATTCATGTATTGCTATTTATTAATATATGTGAATTTTTAAAAGAAATAAAAAGAAATTTACTTTACCGCCCGGTCTTGTATAAAATATATTTATTTACTATTGAGTGCCACATTATTATTGAAGTGTTAGAAATCCCGTTGATGTAGAAAACAAACAAAATTATTTAAAATCAGTTTTCTTTTACATTCGTTTTATTCATAACCTGGTAAACCTCGTACATTCATATATTTTTATGTCTTTTTATACATAAGTAGGTACCTACCTGCTTTTAGTGTTTTGTGCTCTTATTATATATTTATCATATTAATATTTTATATTTGAGACAATAATTATAAATTATTATAATTTTAATAATTATTTCTACCTTAAAACTCCCTAGGTAAGTACCTACTTACGTTTCTCCGAATTTATAATTAATATCTACCTACCTATCTATGCAATATTTCTTTCGTATATATCTTTATCAATAGCTTCTTAAAAAATTTATCAACGTTTCTAAAGTAATGTAAATTTATGTAGAAAGCCAACTACTGAAATACCTACCTATGTGCGAAAAATACAAGTAAAGCTGTCATGTCACCAGCTTCCTGTGACACATACCAAACATTTCAAAGAATTGAAACGTTTCTATACAAAACGAAGACACAATCATGGCTGGATGCTGGCCAATCGCTCTCCCAACATCACATCTTTTCAACGCCGCGAATTTTCATTGGTCTCAAAAGCCACCGCGCAAGACACGTGTAAGGCCAAGCTCCGCCTCTCCAGTGACGCAGTTGTAATATTAAACACCGAGAACTAGATTGTGAGTGGAGGCCCAATCAAGTAGGTATAGTGAGTGGTTGCTCAGTTTCGTAACGGCTATTAAATCGTTAAGTTGAAAGTGGGACTGTGATCACAAACACATGTGTCGTGATTTCGATTCACCGAAACAGTGAATGACAATGATGACGATGGACATAACTATGTACGGTCACCATAACCAGCATAGCACGCCATACAATTCAAATTCCGGTGAACCGAATTATTATAATTATTCTGGTGAATTGAACTCGTCTTCGCATCATCAATTTCAGAATTATTATTCCTCAAACTATCACTACGAGGAACCTTATTTGTATGCATCGGCTCCTTCCGATACGGTAGAAGCTCCGTCGTCTCCCCACAATGTCAGCTACTATGCCCAGCATCTACAAGAAACCCCTATTGTAAATACAGATACAGGACTGACTTACACTAATCTAGATTATTCTAACAGCACCTCTAACTATAGTCAAAATAATTATAACGAAAATTTCCCAAGAGGACACTCTACTGACTTATTACATCACAACGATAACTCCGAGGATGCACAAATTCAACAAAATTACTTGCACGATAATAAATTCCAATTAGATATTAACGATAGTAACTATTTGATAAATCCAAATGCCGCGTCAACGAGTGCTTGCATGGAATTTCAACATTTACATAGGTACAAACAGGAAATGATGCCAGAAGAACATTCGAGATTAAGGCAGCACCATGGCTTACATACGCTAACATCTTCTTCTATGCAGCAGCCAGCTTTACCGACTTATAAATGGATGCAAGTTAAACGGAATGTTCCTAAACCACCCGGTGAGTACAAATACTGCTAATTACATGTAAATATAGAAAATGGTTCACTTAAAAATATCTAATAATGAAATAGAAAACGGGTAACTGTAAGGAAAAAGTTAATCAACTATAAATTTGTAAAAAGTTATTAAATGAATAACTAATAAAGAGGTGTTTTATAATTAAATCTAAAAATAATGCGGTTTTATTTTATTGTTTTTATAAAACTAACTATATACAAGGTGGACTAAATATTTCCGCTCAGACCCTAGCTGTTAAACTAGAAGATTTCGATGCACTGAGAGAACCGTTTGTTAAATGTTAAGAAACCTTACTAATATTTAACATATGGTAGGTTTGGATATGGCCGAACTTACGTAAGTTCACTATAAGCACGTCATAAGTTAAAAGCTCATCAGTTAAAAATAAACACCGATATATTAATATTAAACTTATTTACTGGTTTAAAATTAAAATAGATTTATTAACATAAAGCAAATATGTTAAATGTTAACAAATATATGTTTTAACGTTATATTTTAATTGTTCAATACAACATTTGTATCATAGTTATCAAATGTGAACTTTTGCTATTAAACGTTATTTGTAAATGTTAAAATGTGATTGTTAACAGTTAATAAACCTGTGTTTTGTATTATATTTCATTATTTAATAAAACAGTATTCTATATTTCCAAGACATCTTTGTATCTTAGTTATCAAATCTTACATTTTATTATTAAAAATATTAATTGTAAATGTTTAAATTTGTTTGTTAACAGTTAAGAACAGTATAGTTTAAGAAACCTTGTGTATGTTTAATATTACACTTTAATTGTTTTATACAATACTGTTCGATTTCCAAATATATTGGGGATATGAAAACAAAGGTGTACATACAGAAAATATATTTTATTAAATTGAAAAGTTAACAATACATGATTATAAATTTCAACAAACATGAACAAATTAAAAAAACTAATATTAAATGTAGCGGCCGATAGGTGGTACCTTCGGCTGAAATTTTATAAGGTAGTTGCAGGTCCACCAGGAAGTGTTATCTACAAGGATTTCGTTTATAACTCCTGCAAACGGGACGTCAAAAAACTCAAAATTAAGCAATTTGTGTTTCGTGACGTACGATCGAATCTCGGTCAAACCCAATACATTTTTTTCTTGGAAAAACTATGAAAATTAAAAAAAAATACTTTTTAGGAGACTGTCATGAAAAATAACATTTTTAAAGTGTCACTTTTTTCGCCGCATTTATTTTACGGCAGCTTTTTATAAGCATAGGTTTATTATACTTATCGTTAGTAATGTTATACAAATTTAATTAGTTAACGATGGAATTTTATTCGATTAAAAAAAAATTGAAACAATTCTTGCATTTAAGCCTCTTTTTAAAAACAAGAATGTGAAAAAAATATTGACTCAACTTGATGAGATAGTCGCATAAAAAATGTTGTGTACACCTCGACCGTATAATCTTTTTTGACCTAACCAGAAGTTGTTTGGTCTCGGCAGCAAACTTCTGATTTGGCCTTGGTACACAAATAACTATTCTATTGTTTGATTATAAGGATAATTCTTACCGTAGTAGAATTTTATATAAATAAAAAGTTTATTCGGTCGTGTTTATTGTTTTTATAAAGTTTAAGTACCTACGGGCACCACATATGTTTCGGAAATACTGTTCCATCTTCTGGTGCCAGTTATTAAATATTGACTGGTACCAGAAGATGGAACAGTGTTTCTGAAACATGTAGTGACTGTAGGTACTTAAATTTTATAAAAACAATAAGCTTTCAGAAAAGACCCTTTACTTAGTTGAGTTGAAACATGGCAAATATCCCATGAATAGAATGTTTTTCATGATTTGACTTTAATTAATTACAATATTCACGAAAATAATACGTACCTATTATTAGAATTTAATAAATAAATATGATTACTTCTAGGATAAAAAATCACTGCAAACTTTTAATAAACTTAGCTGCTAATGTCGGCGTCACTCACAAAAAGAACGATTCTGTACTGCAAACTGTAGCCAGGCAAGAACGTGCTTAACAAAATGGCAATTAGAAACTACGTGGTGTTCCATGTTGCCAATTTGTGAAACTCAAATTACCTACCCACTGGGACTGCATACTACACTTAAAAAAAATGCAAATTTATAATACAATAATTAGTTTTAGGCCACTAGTAATACAGCAAACAACTTTTAAATTAATATACGCTAGTTTTATGTTAACGATAAATAGAAAAAATATTGCAAAATGGTACCTAATAGGTAATTTGAATTGTTTACATTTCCTATGATAGCGCAATAACAAAACGTGAATGGCAACGTTGAGATCGGCGCATTAAGGGGACGTTGAGTCTGGGTATTATTAAAAATATATTCGCTAATAGTTAATTTATCATAGCTGTATATTAAAATTTATTTATTTTGTAGAGCGCGAAAGCACAATTTAAAGTGTTGTATTTTATTATTAAGAAATTTGTAATGTTTAGATAAACATAATAGTTATTTTTAAATATACGTATATTGCCGAGTAAAATATTTGTTAATATCTACTATACCTTACTGTAACAAATGTTTTGTTAAAGAAAAACTCGTATTTGTGAGATATTTATTAATAATTATAATATTATGGTATTAATAAATTCCCTCAGTTAATATTTACAGAATTTCTTCCTAACTTACAATATTTTAAATATAAACTATTTTTTCTCTCAGTGTAAATTTCAATTCTGTATTGTAGACTTCCATTTGTCAAATAAATTAGGTGCTAGGTACTAGGTACTAGGTACTAGGTGCTCCATAACAATAGAGCAGCTATAAACGTCATATATTAAATACTTTTTTTAACTAACCTATCGCTTAAATAGGTTTAACTTTTTAAACCATATACAAAGTGTTTCCAGAAAACCAATAAATATCAAATATTTACAAATGCCAGTTGCCCCTCCCTGGCTTTTATGACTTAAGCAACAACATGTAATATATGAATTACTGATATTTTAGATAGGTACTATTATAGGTTCTTTAAGCCTGTTACATTCCAAAAATATAAAAAATAATACTTTTTTTTACTACCGATCAGCCATGTTTTTTTTATGAAATCGTAAATTTCATGACAATTTTCTTAAAAATTCAAATATATTAAAAAGTTTTGAGATGATTAGTCTGTGAAACACAGATTTATTTTATCGCGTCGTTTGGTAGCCATCACTGACAAAATTCGCTCAGAAAATGCTGAACAAGCAGATACACTAAATAAATATGAGATTAAGGAAAACACATTGGGAATATTTTTAAAGCAGTTTAAAACAACCTTAAAACATTTTTTTTGTGTCCTTAAATTTGGTCTTAATTTTTAATCTTTAACAGTCTGAATTCTGCATCATCTCAAATAATAACATTAAAACCGCAAAATAACCAAAATAGTTTAGATATAATAATCTTTAAACGTTGGTTTTAGCCGTAGAAATTTGTTTGGTTTGTAACGTCACATATACCATGGTAACGTAACATATTTAACGTCATATGATAAATTTAAGTTGGGGATTTCTAAACGAAATGTGAATTTTAAGAAATTTTAGGATATTTTTAAAATTCTTTGCACTTTGGGCTTGCTCGATATGTTTAAATGTGTCCCTTACCACATCACCGACATGGTTAATAGAAGTTACATGCTTTGGTAAACGTATGACATCATGGAAGTAATCAAACTATGCTCTGGTAACTATAGTATGTTCTAGTAAGCTTATAAAGAAATGTCTAAAAAGATGAAGTGCGTTCGCAAAAACAGTACTGGGACTAGGTTTCATGTGTAGGCCACGCCAGTGCTACTGCAAATAAGTTAAAAAATATAGTTTTTAAAAAGGATTTTTTCAGGTTTAAAAAGTGACAAGGACAATTTGTTTGGAAAAAGGACTGTTCTTTTCAAAAAAGGACTTGTGGCAACCCTAAACTGGGCTATAGGGATATACCTGATGAGTGAACACAAAACAAAAAAAATGTCTTCTGTTATCGATATTTTTGATAGAGAAACAAGAAATTTCAAATTTGCATTTGTTTGTGTTTGTCGACGTGTTTGACTGAGTTTTTTATGTTTTCGTGTTTCTATAAATATTTTATTTTTTTTATTATTATTGTGTTTGGCTTTGTCTTCTTGTTTCTTTTTTAATTTTACACCTTCTTTGTTTTCCAACAAATAAACATTAAATGTTTTTTTCTTAAATTTTGCCCCTCCCTATAGAATTGTGTAACGACGCCCATGCTTGACATTGATTTTTGTGCAAAATAAATTATTATATGAAATTTTTCATACCATTTTTCAGTTTTTATTGTAAATTTAATCATTTCCCCATAGAGGGTCCTTGCGTCACCATTTCCGCTATAGTATTGGCGCTGATCGATATTAACTGTTTTTATTTAATTTCTTGAAGGAACCCCCCCCCCCACAGTTCTTAAAAACCCCTCCCATGAAAAATGGCTGGCTATGACCCCTCATAACCCCCATTTTCAATCAGATTTTTTTAGAATCAATAGGGTTCATCCCCTTACAGAGTTTAATTTTTTTCAAACATTTCAAGTTGATATTATAGTTCATTTCTGATTTTTCTTTTAAATATTTAAACCCCCTTAATTATTTCACTTTTATTCAAATAGTTTTTCTTTCTTGAGTTTGGATTTTTTATATTTCAACCCCCTTTAACCCCCCAATTTATTCAGCTTTTTTCAGAATCAATAGGCTTTATCTTTTTATAGAGCTTTATTTTTCCTAAAAATTTCATGTTGGCATATCGGTTTTCGTTTTTAATTTAGGATTTTTTAATTTCAAACTTTCTTAACCTCCTATTTATAATCATAAACATTTCAAAAACAATAGGCTTTGTCCCATTATAGAGCTTAATTATTGCTTAAAATTTTCAGATTGATATCATTTTTCGTTTTTTACTTATCGGCCGCCAAAAAAACGTGATATCGGACAGACGAACCAAGTAAACCTG